TCCCATAATACCCAATATTCTGCACTGTATTGGGTTTAAAGGATCAGCAGATGATGGCCCTACCCCAGTGGCTGTGGCAGACCTTCGAGCAGCAGTAGCAGCTTTTTTAGTTAGATATTTTTTGTCAGCCCATACCTAAAATTTATAAAATTTATAAAGTATCAGTATTGGAAAATTTTATTTAATAACAAAATTATTTAACATTTTAAATGCATATCACGTACTAAAATATCAAGAAAAGTGCTTACCTTCTGCCACTGCTTTACAGTTTTAGTGCATCCACCCAATGAATTGAGTTCGTCTGTGAGACGAACCCATAATTGGGTGGATCTTGTTCGCCATTCTGCATTTCTACAGTGGCCACGAGCTAACTCCTGGTGCTCTGCTAGGAATGTTAGGAGTGTATGCACTTGTTCCACAGTGGGATTACTCATCTAAATGCATAAATACATTTGTTAGCGCTTGTCATAAATAGAAACTAATAAATAAAATCAAAGTTATTACATGTTCATTTTCATTGATGTTTAACGAACAAATTTAGCAATAAAAATCATTTAAAAACACTTGTGATGATAATTCTTAAGTTTATATATAAAAAAATAAAAACAAAAATATTTGTAATACGCAGTAACGTTATTTTCAAATATAAATAGAGGTTTGACGTTTTCTTATGACATAAAATACTACTAATTTTAGAAGTTTATAATTTCAATACATTTAAATATAAACGACTGTACATTTTATTTTATCCGGAGTATACCACTTTATTTTTTTCCTAATTTAAGAGTGTATAATAAAAGACCTCTCATCTTTCATTCGTTCACGATCATAGTCTATGGTACCCGTCCGAAATATCTTATTCCGAAGAAACTTCATGGTTCCTTTAAACTAGTATTTCGGTCGTCTTTCGTTTCGTTACGCGATAATCGGCAGTAACTTTCGTGGTAGACCTACAGGTCTAGTACCAACTGTGGCATACATTAGGGATCCTATTAATGAACGACACTGTTTCTCATAAGATACATCAATAATTTCATTTTCATCATATTTATAATTAACATCCATAGGAGTGTCACAACCCTTACAATCCTGCATATTAAAACGTTTAAGAACCTTCATTAAATATTTTGATTGATCAATACAAATACCTTCAGATGTTTTATTAATTGATATACCTAGATACATTAAATTATTATTTCCCATATCTTTCATTTTAAATTTAGTTTTAAGGTATTCCTTCACCTTTTGGATATCCTTTACATTTGTACCCAAAATCAACAAATCATCAACATACAAAAGCAAGTATAAATTCCCTTTACTATATAAGCAATAGTCATTATCAGATCTCTTGAATCCATATTTGGTAATTGTGTCATTAAATTTTTCATACCAATATTTAGGTGACTTTTTTAAGCCATATAATGATTTTTTCAATTTCAGTACAAATCCTGGTGGAACATTCATTCCTGGTGGTGGTTGTAAATATACTTCTTCATTTATTTCTCCATACAAAAAAGCTCCCTTTACATCCATTTGGTGAATTTCATAATCTTTATTTGCTGCTACTGATAAAATAGTTCTTAAAGTCTGTAATCTTAATACGGGTGAATAAACATCTTCTATTATTCCTTCCTGTTGAAATCCTCTAATAACTAATCTCCCTTTACATATACTTTCCTTTCCTATATCCTTTCTTGTGAAAATCCATTTAGCATCAAGTATTTTCTTGTTATCTGGTTTTGGTACAATTTGAAATGTTTCATTTTCCTCTAATACTTTTAGTTCTTCTTGCACAGCTTTATTCCATTCCTTTCTATCCTCTCTTAATTGAATATCTTCATAATCCAGAGGAACATTCTCTGTATCACCTAATAATGCAAATAACACTTCATCACTTTCATCATTTAAATCAAGTATATAGTCTTCTTGCCATTTTGGTTTATTAATATTTCGTTTTCCTCTTCCTCTTTCTTTATTTTCCTGACATTTCTTACTCTCTATAATTTTTTCATTATTTTCATCTATATTTTCTTCATAAACCTCACTCATATTAATTGGTTTTGATTCTTCTTTTTCAGGTTCTGGTTCTTCATCAAAATCAGGTAAGTACACACTCTTTTCTTTCTTTATAGGTCTCTCATCAAACACTACATTTCTTGCTGTTACTACTTTTCCTGTTTCTTCATCATAAAGTTTGTATCCTCCAATACTATATCCAATCATTATCATCTTCTTTCCTTTGTTATCTAACTTCCTTCTCAACTCTTTAGGTACATGATTATATGCTACACATCCGAAGACTCTTAAATTTGATACATCCGGTTTTTTATTTTCCCACAGCTCACTAGGTGTCTTCGCTCTTCCTGTAACTGGGCTTCGGTTCATAACATAGGCTGAATACATAACTGCTTCGCCCCAAAATTCCTTTTTTAATCCAGAATCAATCAATATAGTTCTAGCTTTATCCATAATTGTCCTGTTTAATCTTTCTGCTACACCATTCATCTCCGGATTGTATGGTACAGTATGTTGCATAATTATTCCATTTCTACTACAGAATTGTTTAAACTCATTAGAAAGATATTCGCGCCCATTATCCATTCGCAATTTATATATATTTTTATTAAAATGATTAGTTACCAAATAATAGTAATGTTGAAAACATTTGAAAACCTCTGATTTATGTTTCATTAAATAAACTCTTGTAAAGTGTGTGAAATCATCAATGAATGTTAAAAAATAATTATTGCCATCATATGTACTTGGTGAAATTGGCCCACATACATCTGAATGCACAAGATCTAAAGGTCTCTTAGCTCTATATCCTTGTTTATTAAAAGGTAATCTTGTACTTTTCCCTAATAAACAAGGTTCACATAAATGATTATTATTACTTATCTTATTTTCCAGTTGTGATAAACCCTGCACCATCTGATTTTTTACTAATAAATTTAAATTATTTATACCTAAGTGACCAAACCTTCTATGCCACAATTCACAATCAGTTTGATCTATTTTGTTAGAAAAATTGCAATGCATACCTGAACTGTAAACATTTACAATGTATAATGTATTCATATTGTTTCCTATCATTAACAAATAATCATTACTATAAACTCTTACTTTTCCTCTACTAAATACAACTTTTAAACCTGCCATTTCCATTTTTGAAACTGATAATAAATTTTTCCTCAAGTCTGGTACATACAAAACATTTTTTAATATACTTTTATTTGTTTGTTTTCCTACTGTACATATAATTTCTATATTTCCTACTCCTATAGCCTCAAGACATATTCCATTTTTTGCTGCAGCTATTTTTTTAGGTGATTTTAATTCTATATAGTCCATAAAATAGTCCTTACAGTTTATCAAATGATCACTGGAACCTGAATCGACACAAAATTCAATGTCAGCACTTTTATAATCACTATTTTTCACTTTATTTTCACAAACACTCACATATGCATTTGGGGAATACTGTTTATCTTGGTAACTATTGCTTGAACTACCCTGTCTTGGACCTTGACTATATCCTTTATCTCTTCCACGACCATACAGTTGTCCTTTACTATATTGTTGTCCTCGACTGTACTGTTGACCTCGATTATATTGTTGACCTCGATTATATTGTTGTACTGGTCCTGCATTTGTATAACTTCGTCCTTGTCCTCGTACTGTCTGCTGGCACTGGTATTTTTTATGACCTATTTTTCCACATTGAAAGCAGTGAAATGCATTTGTCTCCTCTTTATATTCATGCTCATTAAATTTTTTCCTTTTTTTCTCTTCTGCCAATAATCTGTCTTTTACTGTATTCAATTTTAATTCTCCAATTGTTTCTAAAGCAGTTACTATTGGTGTATATGATTTCGGCATAGATAAAAGAATGTAATTGACTTTTTCTTCTTCTGATATTGTTGTCCCTGCTTCCTCTAACTTGGTACAAATTTCTTGTATTTTTGTAAAATACTCTATAAGTGGTCTTGATTCATCATATTTCATTTCACTCAGTTGTCGTCTCAAAAATAATTTGCTCCTTGTGCCTTTTTCTTTAAAATTTTCCTCTAAGTTTTTATACATGTGGTAAGCCGATTCTTTACGTAAATACTCCAGATGACTGTCAGCTACTGCCGAAATTAATATCGCTTGTGCCCTCGCCTCGTGATATAAGTCGGAAGCGAACAAAACGTGTTCGCTTCCGACTTATAAAAAATTTCTGAAGTAATCGCTTCAATACAATTTGCTTCTCGTAATATACTCTTTATTCTAAACGACCACACATTGAAACCGTCTCCACTGAACGAAGTAATATTATATTTAATAAAATTTTCTCGCGACGCCATTTTTCCTTTCTCAGAATGACTTTCAATTTTTTAACTTCTTTTACGCAGTATTACACAGTCTGTGCCCATAACTATTGATTTTGAAGTAATTTAGTAGGTCACTATTTTTATATTTATACACACTATTAATATTTATATATTTATTTAATTTCCAAATTACAAAACTTATCAGGAGACATATTTTTCCTATTACAAAACCAACCCGCCATCAACCAGAGAGATGTATTCTACATCAAACATAGAGTAATAAAGTTGCCATATTCATAAATGTGTGGATTGCTTTCTCAACAAAACCGAATGATCTGATCGATTAAAAAGATGGATTATTGTTCGAAGTTAAATAGAACAATCGATTTTTTATGTAAAATGTGCATATCTAAATTAAGCCACAGAGTAATTACAACAGAGGGCAGCATATTTGACATATATTTCATCAGATATTTTTTTAAAATTAGCAATAAAGATTGTTATACTATGGACACATACATGAAGAACAATGGAACATAAACTTATAATCAACGAAAAGATTTGGCGATCTCGCCTTAAAGAAATTAGAATTGTTCATGGAAATATTACTGAAGATTAGGCTGTATGGTCACGTACCTTTGCCTATCCACATGTGAATAAAATATACTACTACAACTCGGTTGTTTCCCAAATTGATCTGAGAAGTTTAAACGTAGACTAGGCTGTACGGTCTAAGGATCTTTGCCTGTTCCATCACTGAAAAGGAGATGGACGAATATGGAAAAAAAATCAAATTGATCTGTACTGTTATTAATATGGTATTTTGATCTTTAAAATTTTTCACTCACCTTAAAATTTTGAATACTTATACAAAATAATCAAAATCTGTCCAATCAGTGATTATAATAATATCTAATAAAGAAAGTTTATCCAAGGATAATAAATAATAAGTTTTATTAAAGTGAATTCTCTAAATATGAAAGAGAAACACAAGAAGAAATATAAAAAACACAAAGATAAGAAAAAAGAACACAAACACCGCAAGGTAAATATTTTGAAGGTCTTTATATAATTATATTTAACTTTTTAATAGTACAGTTTTACTAATAGATCATTTATAAGCATGAGACCTAAAGCTACTTTTTCAACAGTATATATATAGCTTATGCTATGTAGAAAATAAATCACATGTAGGTATTTAGTAAACTCATGTAGTATCATTTTCAGTGTGCTGAATTTTATTCACTATTCTAATACAGACATAGTACAGTGTTTACATACTCGTCTACTACTGTACTGTACTACTAGTATATCTAATTAGTATATATAATTACAAGATAAAATCTGTCTTTATAATACAATCCTTTATATCAAACTTTACTATGACACATTCAGCTGTTACAATACAATGTGCACTTTAGCATGGTGCGGATGATAGTTTTATTTAACTCTTGGAAGTTGCTGGGATTTATAATTATGACATAGTATTTCAGCTGTACCACATTCGTAATATATTAATAACTGTAATAACTTAAATTTAACAACTGTTGTCCGCACCATGCTACAGCGTACATAGTGTAGTCATGGTTGGTCAAAAGTCAAAGGTTGTTCACCAACTGACAGGAACAGTGTCACATTTATAATATTAGAATGGATGTCTACTTCTATAATTTGGAGAAGTTACCCTCTATGGGTAACTTCTTCAACTTTAACTAATTCAGAAAGTTATTGGCCTTTTTTATAGAAAATAACATATTAAATCAAATCACTTATTTTCTTATAGCATTCAAGTTCTAGTAGTACTGAAAGTGAAGAATGGGTTGAGAAGGAGCCTGTACATAAAACAGAACGTGAAGATTGGATGTCAATGACAGGAATGCTAAAGACATTCACAAAAGATAAAACAAAATCAAAAAAGGAAGAAAAAAGTAAAAATCATATTGACTCATATAATCCAGGAACTAGCACCAGAGAACTGAATCCCTATTGGAAGGATGGTGGAACTGGCTTACCGCAGAGTCTAGAAAGCCTCCGAAAATCAAGACAGTTTATAAAACCTGATAAAGATGATACTGATTTCTATTCAAAACCATCCTCATCAAGAGAGTATGATATGTCTCATGATACTCATAAACTTACATCAACTTCTTCAGGTAACTGGAAGAAAGATAAAAGCAATAAAACAGAAATAATACAAAGTCATAAATATACTGATGAAAAATCAAATACAAAACAGAGTCCAACAGCTCTATTGGCAGAGAAGAAAAAAGAGTCTCTGTATTTGAGTGATGACAAAATGAATAAACTTGGAGCAAAAATTATTAAAGCTGAAATAATGGGTGACACAGCATTGGTTAATGAATTAAAAGATAAACTAGAAGCTGCTAGAGAATACAGAAAACAAAATCCTGATGCTGGAAAAGAAGAAAATGATGTAATGCTTATGTCAACCAACATGTTTGGTAGTACAAGACCATTAATTAGAACAGAGCAAGGAGATCCAAGAAGTAAAGGTGGGAAAAGGAAAGCTGAAACTCATTTATCTGGTGAACGGCAGAAGTACTTTGGAAATGATGATAAATATAATTTAGCGCAAATGGTGGGTTTCATATATAATTATAGTATCATCAATTATACAATACTATTTCATATTATTTCCAATTTTTACTACTGATCTTAGGTCTGTTGCTAAATATGAAAGATATGACTCAAGATAAAACAAAAATGTGCAAGTAATAACTATTAATAAGAGTAAAATAAATTACTTATTGTACATACATTCTAATGAAAACAATTCCACTAAGAGCTATTTGTTATCTAAAGCTGACAGTGAAAATTATTTCATAAAAAGGTACTGTAATAGTAAATAAATTTGATTATATCTTTGAAACCTAAATTTATGTCTTCATATGCGTAGTGAAAAGTATTCTTTAAATTATACAACTAAAGTTTTAATTTCGCTTCAACAAATGCATAATAAGGAGATTAACTTTATCGTGAATACTTTGAAGTTTATAATGATTTATGGTCATTTTTATAAATTTCAGTTCCAACAAGAGAAATACGGCAATAACTATGATGATGAAGCACAGTTGGCTAAAATAGCTGGTAAGCATAAGAATCCCAATGATGATCTTGAAGATATTTTCATGGATGAGATATCTAAAAACAAAAATCCTGCAAAGGAGAGTGAATTGGAAAAACAAAGGGCAATAAATGAACATGTTAAAATGGAAAAGTCATTAGAAGGCTGTGAATACTGTCTAGATTCCAAAAATATGTTAAAACATTTAATAGTTACCTGTGGCAGTAATGTGTATTTGTCCGTACCTGCTAGAAAGTCTCTGGTAACTGGACAATGCATTATAACTACAATACAACATGCAACATGTTCTACTGCATTGGATGAAAATGTTTGGGAAGAAATTTTGGTAAGTTTTTTCACTAACTCATTATGTAAGGAAGTGCAAGGGAGACTATTACTTTTCATAGACATCTAAATGTTGGTTATGCCATTTTAGACTTAACACAATAATTATTTGCATCTTCATGTAATTAATTTCAATTATTTACTTTCTGTTAATTTTATTATATGCTGGTATATATTATGTTACTACTGGCATAAGTAAAAAGTACCTCCCAAACTAATCTACAATAAAGTATATATTGTAAGATTTATTTACTTAATGACGGTGTTCTATAGAAAAGTACATGGTACAAAAAAGTATTATAAAAATATGTAAAATAATTTATAATAGGATAAACCTTTCTTAGGATTAAAATATTATTCAAATGTAATCTTGTATTTTTTAACATTTTAGAACTTTAGGAAGGCGCTCACAAGATACTTTAATTCCCAAAACAAAGATGTTGTATTTTTTGAGACTGCAACAAGGTTACACAGATACCCACATATGATTTTAAATTGTATTCCCCTGCCCAGAGATGTAGGGGACATGGCTGCAATATATTTTAAGAAAGCTCTTTTAGAATGTGAGGCAGAATGGTCCATGAATAAAAAAGTAGTGGAATTAAAGAATAAAGATATTCGAAAAGGTGTACCAAAGGGTTTACCATATTTCTGGATAGATTTTGGAATGGATCCAGGTTTTGCTCATGTTATAGAGGATCAACAATTGTTTCCAAAGACATTTGCTGAGGTATGTTTGAAGTTAAATTTGCTTATCATTTGCTTCCCTCTTATACCTAGTTTCATTAGCCAATCAAAAGTTTTTATGAAATACATCAATGTCATTGAAATAGGATATTTTCTTTAATATTCCTTCCTTTAATGAACTTTAATTTGATAAATGACAATCTCCAAAAGAAGGCCTAAAATGGAGTATTCATCCCAGTTTCCTAAGACCTCACTGAGTTTGGAGTTCGAGAAAAATCTGCATTAAGACAAGAAATCATGTCAATGACGATATATTAATTTCGAGAAGAGGGTAAAGTTATATTATAGGTTTTTCATACAAACAAGAATAACCGGTAAAATTCTTAAAAATATATATGGTATAAAAATATCGAAAGCGAACTGCTTTTCAAATGTTTGCTACATTAATAATTTCTTATATCTTTATTTTGCAGGAAATTATTGCAGGAATATTAGATTTAGACCATAGTCTGTGGAAAAACCCAAGAAGAGAATATGGAGATATTCAAAGAAAAAAAGTACTAGATTTTATAAAAGAATGGAAACCATTTGAGCCTGTTAAAAATAAAGTTTAAGTTTAACAATAAATAAATGACAGAACTTTAAAGAAGGACATTAATTTGAACTTTGAATTTTCGTTTTGTCATTTTAAAGGTACACAAAATATAGCCCTCAATAAAAAAAAGCACTATATTTCTCAATAATTTATATCAAGAAAGCAATAAGAAAAACAAATTATGACGATTTGTTTACATTAACGTTTAACAGCAAAAAACTAATGCTACAATTATAGACTTTTCAAGACTGTCCTATGAGACCTGTTTAGGACGCTTATTGTTTGTTAGGGTCCCTGTATAGGGACCCTACCAAACAATAAGCGTCCAAAACAAACCTAACAACTACCTGCTGTAATAATTATAGAATGCATGCATAAATAAAATAAGAAAAAAAACATTTCTTCCTCTTACAAGATATATATTTTTTTAATTTTAGAGTTTATTCCAAAAAACAAAACTGGCAAATATCAACTCGGCACACTAATATAGTACCAAAATCTTAGTAGAACAGGGTTAAGGATGGGGAATGAACGTAAAATGTAATACAGAATACAGGAATTATTTTTTATATATTCGGCTAAAGTTTTATAAATAACAGGATGATTGAAAGAAAAATAAGTAGTAATAGAAATAGAAAGGCATACAGATTGGCAGTTTGTAGAACTAGAAAATAATAAATAAAAAAAGAACATAATCAGTGGATATAGAGGACAAATAAAGATTTTTAAAACTAAACAGACTATCATAGAGATGACTGACATTTTGATTGACAAAATGTTACTTAATGCAATCAATAATAAATACTTATAACATCAATTTTCTACAATTTTTTTATCGTATCGATGTTTTTTACTGCAATGCAACATACAGGAGAAACAATGCATGCATTATACTATTATAATGAATCTTATAATTTGAGTTGTAAAATAACCTATTCGAAATGGTACCTATGTGTAACTGTACAATGTATGTAGGTACTTTCAATCAATTTGCTCCAGTTGCTCCTACCTACTGCCTATCTATATTGTTGTCAACATGGAACACAAACTATACAAAGAACTATTTGGTTTACGCAACGAAAAATAATATAAGTAAAATAAATATTGTTGTTACCCTTAATTTAATAAAATGGACTCACTATAGTGAATGTATATATGATTACTTTACTTTCCCAATTATATTTACCCTTTGTCTTATTTCGAATATAAACAAATAAAAAATAAAGGTACTGCCCCATACAAACTAACTCTAGCTACTTCGGTGATATAGCAATTTAGACTTATACAAATAAAGGCATACTTTAGATGGTTGTGGGTTCTATCCACGCATGATACTAGTATTTCATTATATTACGTATTCATTTATAAAAAAAAAACTTGTGTACGAAGGGTCTCACCTCTCAAATGTTTCGTGAAAAACGCAACTTATAAATTTTAATCCGTTACTAGAATATTATTAATAACATCGTTGAATAGGTACTCGATTTGATTTCATTCGAATGGGTGTTCGTTCAAAAAACTGATGTAATCTGTATTCATCGTATTGTTCTTAGGATCTGTGGTCCTGTGCTTGCAAATTTTTTTTATTTAGATCAATGGAGGTGTCTTGTGTCTGATTTTGCCTTTTGTGTTTGAAAAGCTAATATTGTACAGTATCTAAATTTGTCTTCATAGATTAATAAATCAAGAAACCTTTTAAAAAGACAAAATGGTAGGTATATTTTCGTTGTACTCGAGCTGAAGTTATTGCGTTGAGTTATTTATTGTATGTAGATGATCTCTCCTCGCGTTTGTTACTCATTTCTTGCAATTCTATCCTGTATAATAAAATTTCCCATTTATTTAATTTGACTTAATTTTATCCATAAAATATAGTTATGGAAAATAGTAATTATGAATTTGGGCGGCGCCCGATTCATTGACAATTTATATTTAATGTGTACCCGCTAATTTCGAATTGTATTAAATTTGTATAATTTTAAGTCATATGTTGTTTATTAAAATGCCACTGAAAATAAATAATATTTACAGGGTAACGAAAATTCTATTCCCATGGAACTGTGTTCAAATTGTGAGTATAATATTTTTATACATCCATAATTCTATCTTCTTTACTACTAATTTTAATTTAAATGATTCTGGTTGCTTCGTATCTACTTGCCTTAAATATTCCTACATATAAGTATTCTTATACCTAGCTTAATAACTAAATGCTGTTTTAAATGAATTAAATTGTATATTTCATATTAATATATTTAATATGATATTTGAATTAGTTAATTTATATCTATAACAACATGCTTCCTAATTCTATGTTGTATATTTTGAGTATGGCTAACTCTCAAAGTACCTCCTTCACTAGACAGTGGGGATGGCGACAGCAAGGACTGCCACTTAAGTGCAGCATAGTTTATGAGCATTATTATCATCATTGAAACAATAGGGTGTGCATATAAAGCGTAACAAGAGGTTTGTTTTCAGCGCGTGTAAACTGCATTGATTTTAAGGTGGAGAACTGTGAGTGTCGTAGTGTCACTCGCCCGCCTCTGATGTTCATCTCTATGTTAGCTGCCGCACGTACACTGTTAGAGTCCAGAACAATTTTTCTTATTTCATTTTTAGGATATTTCATACCTAAAATTGATAACATCTGTCAATTATTATTATCTATGTAATTCGGTAATAATAACAGTAATATATTTTATTTAAATAATTATCATGTGCAGTCTTTAAAAAGGTATATATAAATAACTCTACATCTTTTTATGTATTATATATTTTTAACAAATATCTAAATTATGCTTTTGTTGATTTTTTATTTTTCAATCTGTACTCTCATATTTTTCACACATCAGATGATGTAAAAAATTCTATGGTATTTGAAATAAATGTTATCAGTCTGCGCATAATTCCTCCACCCTGACACGTCAGAGTAAATTGACAAAAATTGTTCTGGATAAACAATAGCTGTATTATGAAAGATATTTTGTTTGATAGTGCATCCCGTCACATTTCAGCCTTTAGTGGAAACATTAGAATTGCTATGAATGTTTAATAATAGAATGCTATTATGCTGTCACTCAGGTGCGAGGAATCTATGCATATGAGGAAGGTTGGCTATGAGCTAATATCAGGATTATAAATAGAAGTTGAAGTATATAACTTTAATTGATATGGTTCATTTAGTAGTGTACCTATATCAAACATATTTTTTTTTTCACAACTTGTAAATTTTAGCATTTGTTACTGAGGTTCAATAAAAAATATGTCGAACATACATTTTTCAAGTAGCCAACCCATCTCTTAGCTCTTCAGAAAACCCAGACCTGATTGTAATGTTTATTCAATTTATGTGCATTTATTCATAAAATTATTAGAAAAATCTATTAAAATAGAAGACTTGTAATTTTTCTAATTTTTTTTTATCATGATTCAAACATTCAGTTCTGAGTTTATTAGTGTATTGTTATAAATGTCCTGCCTACGATTCTACAAGTGCGCGTTGGACTACTATTGTCGAGCCACTTGATGAGATATCGTCAGCTTTATACTGAACAAATTGTCAGTTGGTAACACTCGTGAGGGCCTATTGGTAGATGGTGCCACGCGTTTGTTATCAAATTAAATAGGTAGCTGTTGCTTGTGCCAGTTATTAGTTTACGAGGTTTAAGGGTGCTGTCACACCAAATGTATAATCAGCCGAGGACTGTGAGCAAGCCCTGCTAGAACATTATGCTATTATATTATTCTACACTAACGTGCGCTAACGTTATTGTGAACAAAAGAGTATATCTCACGTCTAATCATGACCTACATTAACTAAAATATTACGGATTTTGTAAAGTAGACTTTAACGTTTTGCTTTAAGGTCGATTTCCTAAATTTCTCATTTATGAGTTAATACTCATTTATTATTAAGTTCGCGATATATTCTCCAGTGTATTGTAAGCGTACGATCTAAAGCCTAAACATAGGCGGAATAATTAGAGCAGTTGTTAACAATTCTTGCTTAAAATGAATTGAAATTATTGTAATTAGAGAATATTGAAAGCCTGGGCTTTGTACTGACTGAATCTTGTTAGTTGGTACGAGTTTTAACATAGTTTAAAATTATAAGTGTTGCAATTATTGTAGAAATCATAACTCAAACTATTTCAAATAATAATAGTTAGCAGTTACCGAATCTAACCGCTAGTTGGAAACTAGCGGTAGTAGGGGTCACTCATCATATACTTTGCAAGTGGTGCTGTAGAAAAATAGTCGGATAACGAAAGTCAAAGACTATGCATTGCGTTGTCGTTTTACTGTGAACTATTATAGTTGATGTGATGTTGGAAAATCAGTATACTGTGTAGGTAAAGATTGCTGGCAGTCGACGGCTAACAATACGTTTGTTGTGAACGCAACCTAACTGGAAATGTTGCTTCTTATATAAACCGCGCAATCCTCGCCGACGTTTTTACGCGCATATATGCAAACATCAAAAGGAACTTCCTTTTAGTGTTTATATAATTGCATGTAAAATCACCGACCATGAGCGTGTGGCCTTATACCTACCATGGTATGACCGAATGGGTTTATTAATAATTTACGGAAAATACATATTTTTCTTGGTATTTATAAATATAAGATAATAAGATATATTATGATAGATGAGGTTGTTGTTGTTGTTGTTGATTCTTAAATTTTTAAAACAAATTGGATATTTGGCCTATAACTGTTACATTCAATGGGGAGTGAGTTAACATACATCATGGCAGTCTTATACAATTGAAATCTATAAATGTGTCTATATGATGCTTTATTTGTTATTTATTGCGTATGTTACAGCGATAAACAAATTTCTATTTGAACATACCATCTTAGGAAATTTAATTATTTATAAAGTGTTATGATATTCAAGTGGATTGTAATGTTTAATTTTGTTATTCGTTGTAGACAGTACTTAACTTTGTTGCTGCGATGTGTCTATGTTTTGATGTGATTTCTACTTTAGTTGTTTAGAAAAAAATGCCGTTCAAAATTAATTCTGATATAAACAGGGGCTTTTAAAATAGATTTATTTGAGTTTTATCTATAAATATTGTGTTTTTTGTCACGTCATGAGATGTGTTTTCTGTGGGCACATTGTTTGGAAACTGAGTAAAAGAAGTAATATAACAATACAACAGACATTCGACTCGAGCATACGTCTTTTAGAGAGGTCAATAATGAGATAAATTATTTTTTAAACGTGCCTTTGAACTACGAAATACGTAGTTTATTTTTTTTTAACTAGAAGTCCGTTCTATTGATAGCTAATTGATAGTTTTCTAAAACAGTACTGGTACGAATTGCGAGATCACACTAATACACGAGGAATTTATAGTTCTAGTGACTAGTTAAATGATGTATAAAGTCTAAAATAGGTACCTTTAAAACACACGTAGTTCAAACTAGAGCTAGTAGAGCAGCCGCAAGCATACACCTGCGACTTGCAATTTAAGCGTTAATAAACCCATAACTATCGTTAGCATGTTAGGACTACATGTAATTTTAGGACCGGTCAACAACTAGATATATAGGCATTATAGTGTTCGACTGACCGAATAATTTTATAGAGCAGTTGTATGCATGCGTTTAATGTTAGGCTTCGTTCACTGGAGATTACAAGGAGCAGTCTATTGCTATAACGCGATTTTTCTGATATCGAACTATATAACATTTGCAATGGACCGCTCTGATCTCATCGCGAGCTCTCTCGGTTGCTACCGCGAAAGCAAGCGAAACGGAGTGAACGAGTTACACTGATCCATGTATCTACCACCGACAGTCGACGCGGACGAGATACGGCGGCTCGGCAAGCGATTTCGGAAGCTCGACTTGGACAATTCCGGTGCGCTGTCCATCGACGAGTTTATGTCATTGCCAGAGTTGCAGCAGAATCCGCTGGTGCAACGCGTTATAGATATATTCGACGCAGATGGAAATGGAGAGGTGAGTTGTTATTTAGCTTTTCATGATTTGCGGCGCGGTGGATGGGCCAGGGTTGGTAGAAGCTCCTCTCCTACTAAGTGAGTCCATTATATTCTGCGATGCTATATTCTTCTTTTCTTTATTCTATATTCGAATTTAGATACCTACTATATAAGAAATAAATTGTAAACATAAATACGATTACGATTTCTTTAGTTGAGACCAAATGTTTATAGTGAAATCGAATCGCTTGTTTCTGAAGGATGTTTTATGATTTCTTTAACATTTTTCATGATAAATAATTATTATATGATTATACTTTTATGATCAATTAGGTGAAAGAGTTTCAAATTGGTATACAATGCGTATCGAAACCACCAGTTACAAAATTAGTACCCACACTTTATAAGTATTAGAATTATCTAATGATAAAATCTTTAATATTGACACTAGATAATTCTTAAGATAACATCCATGAACGATATGTTTAATTATAACGCTTGGTATAGCTGTTTCATGCTCCTTTGAGCAAATTAGTTCTACTGAGTGGGTTAGTTCTTAATATAGACGGGTTTATTATTCAGGATATTATGGTATTAGTATGATGCTCAGGAAACGCATGTTGTGACCCCGTTGTGGATTCGAAATTTGTATAGTTTTTGATAATCTCGATTGAACGATCCCGATGATAATTTTGCCAGAAAGTGAGTACAGTGAGCACTCTAAATGAACTGAAGGCCTGCCAAATGATAGGACTTTAATCTGAATTCACCGTTAGGGGTTAAAACCTCGACTAAGGACGTTATAATTTTGATCCCTGTTGGAATAAGATCCCCAATCTTTAATCATCGATCGTTTAAAATGGCGTAAGTTCGATGGTGTTAACTCAATATTGTTGTAGTCATGCGTTATCTATTTAACCCAGCTAAGCCTACTGTCCTATATTTAGGACAGTAGAAATAAAACAAAATATCAGAATACCCTCTTTATCTAAGATTATTTAGTCTTATGATTTGCAGTAAGAAACGTGTCAGCTTTATTAGAAAAAATAAAAAGACAGTTATTTTAACAGTTTTTACCTTATATTTTACCTTTTAAGTGTGTAATAAAAGTGCGTTGCAGACATGGCAAATGACAGGTATGTTTAAAAAGAATTATTTTATTCGTGAGTTGTTTTTTTCTGTGTTAATATATAGTTGATAACCTTAACTTTTGTACTAAATAAATATTCTAGCAAAATAATATAAATAAATTACGTATAACTTGTTACAAATACTAGCGTACTATATATAGGACAGTAGGATAATATACATGATTTTAGTACAATAATACAACTTTTTCTTTACAGACCGTTAGCTGCGCATGAAATTTTAGATGCTTTAGAAAATGTTTCTGATAATGAAGAAGATTATAGAGAACGACTGATATGTATTCTACCTCCTCCTGTTGATCCTGAATGTCTCACTGACGAAGATTCGGGTGAAGAAGATAATGTAACTTTGAATAATTTGCCACGAAACATTCTGCTTCAACCGGCTGAAGTAATGATTCAAGGGCAGATTATGGTGAGTGATACAGAAGAAGAACCTTCTGATTCTACAGGTCGAACTAAACGTAGGCGTACCTACGCATGGAGAAAACGGGACTTGGCAAAAAATCCCGTGAATTGGCCAGATGTTCAAGGCGCTTGCCAAGATAAGCGCCCAATTGAGTGGTTTGAAAACTTCTTAGATGAAGATGTTATTTCGTTGTTGGTGTCAGAGAGCAATAAATATGCTGTCAAAAATAATTTGCCTGGAGACATAACCACTGAAGATATGAAATGTTTCATCGGCATATTGTTGGTTAGTGGTTATTCATAGCCATGAATAACCACTCCCCAGTCTCCGGGGAGCCCCCCGTAGAAGAATGTATTGGGAAAACTCCCCTGATACAAAGAATGAATTGATCAGCTCGGCTATGACTAGGGATAGATTTGACTTTATTTTTCGCCACCTTCATGTCAATGATAATCTGGATTTGCAAGACAAATACACAAAAGTACGCCCCCTAGTTACATTTCTAAATAAAAAGTTCTTAGAGTTTTCTCCTCTTGAAGAGCATTACAGTGGCTGCAAACAGCACATGGTAAACCTATTAGGTACGGGTTCAAAGCTTGGGTTGGTGCTACACGGTTAGGGTATGTTTTATGGATGGAACCATACCAAGGTGCTACAACTATGTGCAATCCAATATATAAAGAATTGGGGCTGGGTGCAAGCGTTGTTCTCACTTTTTGTGATGTGCTGATTTCACGTGGCTTCGACCTTCCTTACCACGTAGTTTTTGATAATTTTTTTACTGGGACGCCCTTGCTGGAAGAGATAACAAAGAAAGGCCTTCGTTGCACTGGGACAGTTCGAGAAAACAGGACATCTAGTTGTCCTCTGATTACATCGAAGTTACTGAAAAAAAAGGAACGTGGTGCTGTCGATTACAGAACGACACATGACAACACGTTCATTATTGCTAAATGGCATGACAATAATATATTCAGTATTGCTTCAAATGCTGTAGGAATAAATCCTAAACAATCTGCCAAACGCTTCTCACAAAGTGAAAAGAGAAACATTGTCATAGAAGAACCACATATGGTGTCCATCTATAACAAATATATGGGAGGAGTGGATCGGTGTGATGAAAATATTTCACATTACCGAATTGGTATACGAGGTAAGAAATGGTACATGCCGTTGCTCACACACATGATTGATCTTGCCGAACATAATGCATGGCAGTTATATAAAATAAATCATGGAAAACTGGATCATCTTGGCTTTCGCAGAAGGGTAGCAATTGCTTTGATTGAATCAAACAGAAAAAATGCCAAAAGAGGGCCTAGCCGACCCTCCCATCATGAACATGCTGATAGTCGTAAAGACCAAATGAATCATCTGGTTATTCCTCAATCGAAGCAAACACGCTGTCGTCAATGTCACAAAAAATGTTTGACACGTTGCAAGAAATGTGATGTTGGAGTGTGTGTCAAGTGTTTTGAAACATATCATTCATAAATAGTGTTAATCTAGTAAATTACATATAACAATGTGTAATATAATCAATAGTTATCTAATAAACTACACTTTTTGATTACATTCTGTTTTGTCATAAATGGTCTTTTATTTCCTCTTATTATCCTACTGTCCTACATATAGGACGGCTGTTTCCCTGAAAGCCTTACACTTAATTTTTTTTTTCATAATTTTTTTATGTTGCATAAGATCTAATAAACTAAATAATGTAACTTTTTTCAAAATTTTCAGAAAATTTTAGTTTCAGGCTTATCTGGGTTAAAAGTTATACCTACCTATCCCTACTAATATAAAACGGAAAGCAAGCGCTTTTAGCAACATTGCTCGATGAATTGATGTCGCTACCGTTTCCTGGCAATACTGTTGAACAGGGCAGCGGATCGAGAGTAGGCTTGACTGCACTTTTTTTTATAAAGCTGACCCGTTCCTACGGATTGGTAGCTTCAATATTGAGGCCAATAAAAACCGGCTAGACCAAATTACTCGCAGTGAGCTAAATTTCATAAAGATTGGTTACGTAGCTGGGAAGTTTATCTCGGCTAGATTGTGATACACGGGAAATGAAAATATTTTGTAAAAATAATACAGCAACGTTTTATGACACAAAAACAATAGTAATGAAGTCCTCCGGTAACAATGGACAAATTGTTCCAGGTGGACTTCAAGGAGTTCATCCAGGGTGTGTCGCAGTTCAGCGTTAAAGGTGACAAGTTGTCGAAGTTGCGGTTTGCGTTCCGCATCTACGACATGGATAACGATGGGTTCATCTCGAACGGTGAACTGTTTCAGGTAAATAAGATTTACTTTCATTCACTACTCAAAGAGTATATATTAACCTAGGTTCGCAATTAAACTTATTTCAATTATCTAGTGTAGTCGACAACTATACTAGATAATTGAACGACGACAACAACTTCTCTATTTATTTTTATTTGCAGTCGACTATTACACAATTCCTGTATTAGTTTTGTTAAATTAAAATGTAATACTTATAATAAAATTACACGTTTTGATGTTTTTTATTGTGTGGACGGTGTTGTGGTAGATTTTGTGCAAGATGTCTGTGGAGATAACTTTGTCTCATCTATTTCTCCCGCTAAGCAATTTGTTTTGTAACTGGAACAACATACGCATCTTCAATTTCAAGGGTGCAGTGAAATAACACAAAATAATACATATCACCTTAAATTTTCTGAATGGCAACCCAAATGCCATCACGTGCAAATGTGATGTCCATGAAACTTTTCATATCCACCATCAGGTGTGCCGTTAGCTTCTTATAGTTGCATACTAGTACTACAATAGTACTTAGTGTTCTATTTATTACTTCTCAGGTGCTGAAGATGATGGTTGGCAATAATTTGAAGGACACTCAACTACAGCAGATCGTGGACAAGACGATCCTGTTCGCAGACAAGGATGAAGACGGCAAGATCTCATTCGAGGAGTTCTGCAATGTGGTTGGCAACACAGACATACACAAGAAGATGGTGGTGGATGTGTAGGCGACCATGCCCCCTCTCCACCAGCACCTTCTCCTTGCGACCCTCTATTTTCTCGCTCTAGCTAGAACACTATTTAAATTGCGCGTCATTTGCTCCGTGGGACGATACTATTCGTCTTCCAAATAAACGAAGTTTTATTTCGCTTTTGGAGGAACCCGGAATATCTATTGTATATAGGTACATTTGACATAGTACAAAAAGCAGTTCAGTGAAATAAGAACTCGATGCAATACATTACTCGCGTCGTCGTATGCTCGTTTCTTGATCTTTATCTCAGTGAAACCCAGTAAATTTATTCGTGTCACGTAAAACACTATGTAGATATGTGTTTCTTTTTTTGTAAAAAACTATGTTCCTACAAGGTCGACTCGGTAAATGTTACTGTTGGTAATTCGTCTCGACATACAAGTGCTGTATTTAATGGCCTTCCAAAAAATAATGATATCGCAAACTCTTCAATCATTTTCAGGATTTTCATTATTTTACTGCATGTTTTAAATTAAATAGAGTGAATTTTCTAAGTATGCTTGGAGGTCAAAATTCGGAATAATTAAATATTCAAAGTGAAATTATATCAATGCATTTTTGCAAATATTTAATCCCATCAAAGTATGATGGGATTAAATTATTTAAGGAAGTTTAAACACGGTAGAATCAAATTTTATTAAAAAGTTATTGCGATGTCTTCTTCCTATTCCTATATTTGGAAAATGATTTATTAACTAAATCTGATTGATCTGTACTTCTTTGCATATTTTTCGTTATTTATTTTAATATCAGTTTTGGTCATCCATGCACAGTTGGAAAATTAACCCTATATTATATACACGGTAATCAGAGATAATGCCCATTGGAAATTGAATGATTTCTTATATCCTTGTAAGTATACTCTGCAAGATATTTAACTTAACTATAGATAAAGATTCTTATGAAAAATAGTAATAAGAAAAACTATAAATTTGACTAAAATGAGTCTTTAATAGCTAATTTGGATAGTAATAGGATGGATGGTAGCGATTATTATTAGTGAGGGTGTCCCGTTGCATACAAATTGTGCCATAAAACTGTACGTTGCGTGATGTATTGCTGGTCCTATAGGGCTGTGACTTAACTACTTAAGCACACGAATGCGGGCATTCGTGTCGATATGAGGCGATATTTCGCGGCTATATGTCCCGCGGGGCAGCCGGCGCGCACTAATCTATCGTGATTCGTTTACAATTTAACTCTTAAGGTATACAATATAAATTTATAATATTTAGTTAACATTAGAGGAAATTTTATCGTAGTCAAATCAACAGTAAGATTTTTATTATTTTTGTTACGGTAATTTTAGTTTGTTATTTAGTATTTTATTTTTACACGATCTGTTTTGAGCGCGAGTTTCACGTGTCCGTAGTTGAGGTAAGGGTTCCGTGTGCCGCTCGGTAATAGTTGTGCCGCGTATGTGATACGTCAGTCATATCGCGTAGTAACTAGCTGCTTAGCGTCGGTAGTTAGATTTCTATTGTAGCTTTCGTATACTTTTACTTACGATGCTTCTTCTAATAATTATCCATTCGAATTTATTTATATTATTCTATTTAATTTCATTATCATTTATTCCTAGTATTTACATGACGTCGTTATAATCTAAAATTTCTTGTACTTACTATTAATTATATAAATATTTATAGAGGAGTCTCCTTCACAGTTGGATGATACGTTCAAGGTTGAAAAACAATGTTTATGATGAAATAAAAATAAATCGTCATAATTGCTGTAAAACATGACAAGCCTAACTTGTAGAGGCTATTGTTAACGTTGAGTATGTATAATGATACGTACATTAATTGTAAATGGAAACTAACTGATATATATGATTTGTTTGGAATTGAAGAGTCAATATGGGGATCCGATACAGAACAATGAAGTAAGATGTTTTAGATTAACACGAGCCAAGTTTTTTGCGCACACATGAACTATGGCGTGCGTTGCGCCCTTATCTTTCATACTCAGACATGGAATAGAAAGACATTTTTGATATTTCGCGAATAGTTAATCAAATAATATTGGATAAATATTGTGTAAAAATGAAATTGTTCTAAGCGAACCCATGTATTATATATAGGTATGTATAAAATGAAGGAATCCAATCCATCCATATCCTTACTCTTGATCTCCCTCTCCCTCCCCAGGTCCTCACCGCGCTCAAGTGACCTTCGGCTACTGAGGTCCAAGTACCTTGTCTCACCTTTAGATTATGTTAATGTTGTACAAATAATTATATATTATTATAGCAATTTATTGGGTGTTATTTTTTAGATATATGTTTTACAAATGTTTGATCTAAAATCATATCAACTAAGATGGAAGTAGTTTGCCGGTTAATTAATTTTGAAATTATTTGATATATATAATAATTATATAAATATATTTGATATTGTCTGCTACTATTTATATGCGATATATAAATAGTAGCAGACAACTTTCTATTACTTTATACGTTGACCGTTATAGGTCACAGTAAAATAAACCTTATGTAAATACTCGTAGAAAGCAATCTTATTCGTCCAGTTCGGTTTAGGATGAGTGATGTCGTGTTTTCTATTGTTGATTGGATTGGTGGTAATGCAATAAGGATCACATTACTGAATAAATACTGAATAATAATAACCTATGCCCGGTTTGGCCGTGTCTAGGGCGTTACTTAAAGTCGCGTCTCGGCAACAGGCGTTCAGTTTGTGTCTAATTCAGAATGGTTAATCCACTTCTAAGTGTGATTTAGATCATAACATGAAACAATTTTGTTCTTAGACATTGCAGTATTAACACAGAGGATATGTAATTTTTCTTTATTTTTTTGTAATTGATCAATAAAGAAGAAACACTCGACAATCTCAATACAGCAATACAAACACGCATTTACTCCAATTTACGGTGTGCTAAAATGCTGGTTGCTTTCTACGTTTAGACATAAGGATTGTTTTATCGAAAATTAAATCTGAAAATTTAATTTTCTCATATAGTACTGAGTGTTGACGCGGGCCTTTTTACAAATTGACCACCAAATTAAAGACATTTTAGTTTAGTGTTATTCTTAAAAATAGTGTACGGGAACTGTATGTGCTGAGTATACGGCGTTTTAGGACATATTACACTATCATGTCATCATATAATGATGCTTGTAATGCATTTTTAATATAAATAAAAAGATTCACAGTAATCATTTTAATTTACACTGTTTTCAGAAGATGTATATGATTGTGATTCTTTGAACTTTGAATATGACTCTGTTATAAACACAGTAACACTTAATATCATATGTTTTAAATAATTCATACAACGTCCAAAACGCAGTGCATCAAACTCATGTTATAGTTGGTCCCTAATTATCATAGTGGATTATTTGACTAATATTATTTACATTAACATTAGATTGAGTTAGTCTTCTAGCTACATGCAGTCAGTTATCTGTGCCTTTAACTAATCTGTCTGGGATTAAGTGCGGCTTAATTACTTATTATATTAATTCAATAGAATAGCTTTACTCTAACTCCTTCAATTATAAAATGACATTCAGGTCCGCGTCGATATAATCAATACGTTGCTTTTATTATTTATATCAAGCTAATTTAACATTGTGTAGAAGTAGCGACACTAACTCTTCCGATTAGTTGTCGTAGTTTTAGGATTAATTTATATTTACTTATATTAAACGTAAATTCTATTCAATTGTGTCGTGTGATAGTTTGATTACCGGATTGTTTAATGTTACGAGTTAGACTTGGGTAGCAGTGATCGCACGTGAATCTTTATTATGTCTAGTCACAGCTGTTGTTCAATAATTACATTACTTTATAGTAACGGCCCCGTCTTCTACTTGTTTATACGTTATATTATAGGGCCCCGGGCCCCGTCACGACTTTGTTCTTACGTTACTGTAGCGGGGCCCCGCGCCCGTACTCTTTCTTGTTCGTACTGTGAATATGTAATTGTTTATGCCAATAATTCAAATGTCTGGGTACCTATTGCTCACAGCTTTAACTAATTGAATGTTAATTATAGCAATATTACAATTCTAAAGCCTTACTTGAGAAAAGACGACATCTTTATACGTATTTTGTAAGCGTACAGTATCTAAATCATGTATTCCTACTTTGTTTTAAGATGCAACAATAATAAGTGTTCGAGTGTTTAACAGTAAGTACTTAATGAGTGGTATGCAAAATAAAAATAAGTAAATTCATAAACATTTCACAGTATTTGCTAATAAATATTATGCGTGAATATAAAGCTTTTACTGGTATAGTTTAAGAATTTGCTTGACATGACATTTTTATTTCTTACCACCCAATGTTTCATGTCATTGGAATTCTAAAATTAACAAATTTTAACTAGCTATATAATTAATTATATACTTATAGTTGACATAATATATCTATATAGTGACATTGCATCACGAATGGAGTAGAACTATTGAGTATGTTTTTAGAATAATAAAAGATACAGCGGTATGTCTTGATTTAAACTGACAACTGCAGCTCAGCGACATTCCGACTTTCCAATCGTGTCGTGAATGCGTCTTGTCTTCTACATCTCACTTGTAAATTTTGTTATACTTCTATAACGCCGATAGGGCTGCGCCTTACTGCCTCAAGGTCAACTAGGTATAATTGTCTAGAATTTGATTGAAATATAATACATTAAATTGATGTTGTGTCATCTACTCATCTCCATCAGTAGGTAGCGTGTCCTATAAGTCTACTCTGAAGTGGAACTGATAAGTTTTATTAAATTTTGAAATTTCAATGATGATGTGTGTTTATTATTCTATCACCTAAGTTATCCTTCATTTCTAATTGGTCAATCCTACTAGTGGAAATCCTAAGTAATCCTTTATTCACTTTCCGATCCAAAGTGCTTAGGCAATTCTTATGAATTTTGGTATTCCCATATATGTGAACCTGGAGTAATCTATACTCTAGTGCCACATCTATGTTATATATCTATGATATGTTTACTTTTTGTACAATTATTTCTCGCAAAAAACTTGTGAATATATTTTGATAATTATTGGGTAAAAATTAATTGGAACTATGGAAGAGGAAAACATATTATGCTGAATGATTGGAACTATCACAAAGAATTTATTTAGTGCACATTTTGAAAGATCTTTTCACTACTGAAGACATTTCAATTGGAATATATATGAATAATTTGAGTCCCACTTAACAGTGTAACAAATACTATTGGATCTTGGTACAGGAAATTAAAACAAGTTTAAAAATAATGTACAATTTTTATTAACTACCTACTTATTAATAATGGATACCTAAACAAATTTTGTTGCTATAGCTAGTAACTTAGTATAATCTGCACCTTTTGAGTGTGTTCGCTCCTTAAGTATAGTACGTAGGATTGTGGGTATGGGTACATGAATGCGGGTGCCAAGTGGAGTGCCATTGTCATCAATCAGTACCACATTATTACTATCAAATTTGGGTACTTTTACTTTTTGTGTTTGCTTCAGTCCAACTAAAATGCCTTTCTTCTTCTGTCCTTTAATTGCTACCATCACTCTGTCCCCAATGTAGCCAACACCTGCAATTAGTATGGTAATATTATGTAATAAATTGTACTAGTGGTTGCAATCTTAATGTAATATAAGTTTGAACATTATTAAGGTTATATTGTCAAAGACTATACTTCAAATACATAGTAGTCTATATAAGGTTTTTGCTATTTTATTATTATTGCTCCTCCACCTGCACAAATTTCTTAACATGTTAAAAACTGCATACCTACCAGTGGGTCACTCTGCAACTAAAGTAAATTTACATGTTGGGACCGGGTGATCACCCGTGCGAATTTTAATTTAAATAAATTAATAAAATGGATCAATAATGGCTACCTCAATTTATTGTACACTAAAAAATGCCTGTCCCTATGTGAAAATATATATATATATAGATAAATTGTATAAACATGACAACTTTTATACTTAAAATAATTCACTAACTGCTGGACTCAACACTCAAGTTAGTGTTAATATTTTTTCTATCTTGGTGCTATTATTATCCTGTCAGTCCAATATGCTCAAACTGCTGAGTCTAAAATCTTTCTTAAAAGGGATTTTTACCTCTACACTTATTTTTAGGTGTTTGAAATGTGATTTTATTTGTGTATTTCTGCATTCAAGTTTTAATAAATTTTTCTTACTCCAATGGAAACTGTTTACTCCATCCCAATCCAGTAGGCATTATTAGTAATATTTTCATTATTCATGAACATACAACTTACATAATTTGTTCTTACATGCATATGTATATAAAACTTATTTATTTTGTGACAGCCCAAAGTATATAGGTATACTCGTATTGTGGGACATATAAAAAAAAATTTGTCTTAAAATGGTACCAGTTACAACTAAGTATATACAGGATCAAATAAGTTAGCTCTCTATTGGTTCAATAAAGTTTCGATGTAATACGAAAATAGTGTTTGTTGTCGATGAAATTATTAAACAGGACAATAACTTGTGCAACAAATTGAATCGTTTTTACAGTATACATACGTTGTTTGTTATAAACACAGATAATTCTAGGTGGTTTTCCCTCGGCCATGGCTCGTTTTCCGATCTCGGAGTTGTCTACCACTCGTAGCCTGGTTAACAAGCGAACTTCATTTAAGCATGAAGTGGTATGAAACCCACAGCCTAATTTTATTGGATTAACTTTATTTAAAAGAGAAGAAAACATTTTGGGTTTGTATTATTTAAAACTTTGAAAACATTTATTTATAGGTTAAAATAGATTCATAAAATAGTTATTTTTGACAGATTTGACATTTTGATTGAACTCATGACGTTTCTTTGGCGTTTCACTTTGACATTTGTTTACTACAAGAACATTGAAAACAAGGTGTTTATTACAGTGCAAATTGTTTTTTTTATACTACTCTAAAATATTCAAAACATTTGTTAAATCATATTTACTGAGGAAAGCATATTACCCACTAAACGATTATTTGAATGACGAGCGTGCAGTTGTTCATGCACTGGATTTTCATTTAATGTTAGTACCAGTGAGTACAGTGTCGCCTATATATGTAAATATTTAAATAAACTAAAAAAAAGAGAAATTTAATTGAGTTTCTTGCCAGATTTTCTCTATTGAATCTGTATACTGAACTGGGCGGTAGGGATAAAATGTAATATAAAAATTTTAAGTTCATAAGCCGCTAAAAGTTCTACATGAATGTAAATATTTTTTAAAATTTTGAATTTTCAACTAGCTAAGCACGGGAGTGCCTACATGTGTGTACACTGTACATGAACCTTCCTCTTGAATCACTCTATGTATTGCTAAAAATGCAATAAAACTCGTTGCCTAGTTCAAAATATCTAAGTGAATAGACAGCGGAAGTGACTTCATTTTAGGCATAGTATGCTGACTACCAATAGATTTGATATTTTATTGATAGCTTACGTCAGCAACCTGCTCGATATACAATGCCATAGCAATGGTTTTAAATGTAATGTCAAATCAAAGCTCTTGTCAGTTGCAATATCGAGCTATACCTACACAATACAACTTATTCTTACAGTGAAGTTCCTTCAAATCAAATATATAAATATAATAGCAAATCGTTATTGAAATTTCATTAAAACAACAAGTAGATAATTGTAACCTGAATAACCTGTAATCTAAACCCAGAGACAACGAATGATTGAAATGATGAAGAATGGAGGTTTAGAGATAAGTGTGTGCGATTTACGGATAGTGCGCGGCAACACCGTTGCCTAGCGACGTTGTAGAACAAGATATAACAAGCTTGTCTGATTGGGACACAATCGCTTCTTTTCAGATACATTAAATATACGTTTTTATATATATAATAAAACCATACAACTATTGTAAATGCCACAAGAATATTACATTTATACATAGCCACCACTGGACTCGTTATTTAATCTTCCTCCTCCTGTCGCTGCCAGTACCAGTTGAACATAACATAAATAATAGCGGTAACAATAGAGTCACGTGGGGCAAGTGTGCGCACTTAAGGTTTGAAGTATCATATAATAAAATATTTGAAGTTAACTGGAACAAAACAAGGTTTATTATATAAAATATTTAATAATCAACAACTTAAACGCAAAATAAATAATTATCATTTACACAAATTCTGTGGAAATCAACAAAATCAAAACTGTTTAAATGCGCACACTTACCCAAGTATAGGGGTAAGTGTGCGCAGTAGTGCGGGTAAGTGTACGCAACATGTAACATACAGTAAATAGAGTCAGACTCATATGATAAACCAGAAAATAGACATCCTCAACCTAATAATACATCAGTTCAAATAATTCCTTTTCAAAGTTATTGCATTGTTCATGCCACCAGCTCTTACAGATGCTGTATTGGATCCAGTCTTCATTCGGTGGAAATATGTATTTTTCTCCACACAGTGGGCAAAATAATTCCTGCTCATCATTTTATTTATTTTCAGATCAAGTCGTATCTTCTTTTTTGGCAATTTATTCTTCCTCTTGTTTTTTGTTTTTCCAATTCTACTTTATAAGGACTTACAGTATCAATGATTGACTTTTTGCCTTTCTTTCGCCGATTTTGAATCACAGTCATCCCTCCAAGAAATGCCTAAGGCCAACTTCGGTATTTCTTGGATGGATGACAGTCGTACATATTCATTCCTAGACGAAGGTACACTCATTATTGCGGGTGCCACACTGTCGTTTGCTACCAACCTCCGAAATTAATCTTTTAACAGCTTCTAGCTGTTCCTCTGTGACAACACTTCTATCCGGCATTTCTTTTATAATCGAGGCATTTTTTATGTATAATTAAACTCTGAAATAACAAATTGCATCATAAATACAAAGCCAAAGCGGAGCGAGGTAAGTATTCGCATGCGCACACTTACCCGACATTCGTATGCGCACACTTACCCCAAACCATCAAAATAAAATTTAACCAGAACTGAGCAATATTACGTAATCGTCATCACCAAAAGATTAAACACGGCTTATATTACATAAAATGTACTGTTCTGATGGTATAAGGGGGTCTTCCTATGTGACGGCCTGTTTTTTAGGGATATTTTAGGATTTTTTTCTACGACCAGTAAATATTTAGAGCTTCAAGTTTTTTATCATTTATTAACACATATTTGGACAGTATAAATATAAAATTTCAGCTAAAAATATTCAGTCAAACTAGAGTTACAGCGCTCTGAACACCCCCGCCTCGAAAAAAAGAGCTCCCACTTCCTCCACGATTCCGGCTGATCGGCTTATCTGAAAAAAAAAAAAACGGCGTTTTAATTTGTAGGCTTAAAAGCACGGAATGACCTATAATCAAATGAATATAAAAAAAATTGGATTTTTGATAGACATTTGAAATAAAAGTTGCAAATTAGGCGTTTTTTTTTTGTTTTTTGCTATAAAAAAATCGAAGTTTTGAAAATTTTCGATTGATAATAGTTCATTCCATGCGTTTACATATATTGAGTGTGCCCTGTAAATTTCAAGTAATTCGGTCCAGCCGTTTCTGAGATACAATGGAGGAAAGTTTGAAAAACACAGTTTTGAGAAAAACGCGTTTAAAGTTTCAAGTCCGTTAAAAACTATTAAAATATCAACTTACTCTCAATCGGCGATGCCTGGTCCATAGAGTATTCCTTCCTCTTCCTCGTGAAACTTTTAAAGCAGATTGTTCAGCTCTTGAGTCAATCCTGGCTTGTTTAACGACATCACTTACGCGCCGCTCAGAGCGTAAGATTCGCTTTTCATCCCGTTTCTCAACATACGCTTGGGCTTCACGACCAACAGGGCATCCCATAATCGACATAACTTTTAAAATACCTTGAAAACCTTCATTAAAGATAATAACTGCTAAGTAGCTAGCAATTTCAACAACTTTGGGACCAGAATGAAGATGTTTAGGAGCGAAAGTCCAAATCAAAGAATTCAAAGATTCGTTATTGTTTTGTGTCTCTGCTCCTAAACAACGAATTAATAATTTGTCTTTCGATAAATCTTCCAAAACCGGTTTGATAGCTTCTTGGACTTGCGGAATTAGAGGTGGTTTATCGTGATGAAATTGGTCCAGTTCATTATTAGCTTCAGCCTTACGCCATTTACACCAACTGTCTTCGCCTTCTGGACAAAATTGATGCTGAGGGTTTTCATCAGAAGAACATTTGTGATAGTACGTTGCCCAAACTTCCTTTCTCATATCTTCAAGCGAATCTGGATGGCGTCGAATTGCTAATCCGTAGAATTTTGTAATTTCTTTGGATAACTTTATCAGTAAGTTTACCTGCTCCTTTTCTGTTTAAGTCTGTAGAAACGTGTCTAAACTTGTATAAACAAATATATTAATAAAAGGGAGGCCAGGTATAAAGCCGACGGTACACAATAGGCCCGGTCTCTAACTGCCAACTCACCGCTCCGAACCGCTCTTTCTTTTACCTGCTGTATCTTTAAAACGACTTCGAATTTTCTAAAATCGCTTTACTACCGTATTCTAGACATGTTAAGGGAGCAATTTATGAAAAAAAAAAAATCGATTTTTTCAACCCATCACATAGGAAGACCCCCATAAAGCTTGATTTCAAAATATAAATATATTACAAAGGAATGAGTCTCTCATTTAAGACAAAAATCGCAATATTTCAAGCAAAAAACAATACTCACTTACGGAAACAAAATGGTTCACCGGCGGACAGTGAAAAAGTTGCACTAAGTATAGCCTTTTGTGCGCTAATGAGGAGGGGTGTTATCAGTTCGTACCTATAAACCGTTTTTGAAATATTGCGAGTGCGTACACTTACCCGCTGCGCACACTTGCCCCACGTGACTCTATAGACGCTAAATTGGTGACCCACGACGTTCCACGACAGCACAGCAGACACGGTGAAGCGTGAACCTACTCCAGTCCAGGTGGCATCTTTCCTACATTCCTTCTCCTTACCGGCATTCTTACCATACAAGATCTTATTACCATCGACCGTAAACACTATCGTCCATCACACAAGTACTCGCCGTCGTTGTGCCGCCCGCGCCGCCCGCCGCCCGCCGCCATAATAAATAATAGCAGTAACAATATAGACGCTAAAAGTGTGTACCTATAGGTACCTACACATATATCTAAGAACAAGTTTAGTTATTGATATTAGGTTAGGGCTACATTGTATTAAAAACATAAAAAAACGTAACTCCAGTTCCTAAGTAGATAGATCAAACAGGCACAGATTTTCAGAATTAAGGAGCCCCTGTTGTAAGTACTTTTTGTTTATAATAATTATTTACAGTTTGATAGGCGCCTTCGTCCTTGAAAATAATAATCATGATAAATAGTATCTATCTGTACCTACTAGTAATAGTTATATGTATATATTTTAAATAATACACTATATAAAAGCTATATAATGTATGAAGATTGAAACTAACTAAAATAAAATAATAATAAAAAAAAATACCAGTCGATTTATTCCCAGTTCTTCTCAACTGAAGTAGCTGAACTGGATGACAGGTATACCTAGTTATAGAAATTATGACGTGCACAAGAGGCGGAAAGGTGTGCATAAAACATTTTTTAGTTCGACTATAAAGCTAAATATTTAAACCTAACTTAAACGGAAAAAATATGAACTTACATGCAGCACTTGTCCATGGGTATGATGAGCCAACCATTAGATAAAAAGGAGGCATTCTACAATCAATATTTGAACTATTGATTGGATTGAATTGATTGGAGGAAAGGTGACGCTGGTATCGGTTTAATAAATTAATACCTACCATTAAA